TTGGTGAGCAGATCAGTGTAAAAATTTTTGTCAGCCTAATGATGACCTCCCGCACTTACACTAACAGTGAACAGCTATGACATACATATTCAGTACTTTGAAGGGAACAGGTCTTACCTGGCCATAAAACTGCTTTGATTGTCTCATTAATTTTGAACTTCTGAGAATGCAGAGCTGTATATAAAATAGACAGATTTTTATTTTAATTAAGTTGAAATTTTGCACTTCAAACACATCTTGATTGTTTAATTTACAATTCTACAAAAATTGTCTCTCTAACTCTTGACCTTGGCCTTGTAGAAGAGACGGTACAGAAACATTTACACTTGTAAACTGGAAATCACAGGAATTGCATCTGACCTTGACGCTCTCTCTGTCTTTTCTTTACAGATTGCAGGCTTTATCAATGCGATCCATCCATTTTGCGGTGACAAAGAGAACCTGGCAGCTTTCAGATTCTATGCGGTCAACCCCATCGTTGATCCTTGGGTCTTTATCATCTGCCGCAAGTCCGTGTTTCGCCACCTTTGCTCTCTGCTGAGCTTCCGCTTCAGTAAAGGAGCCGTAAAGACGACAGCACACTGCGCTCTGTCTTTACCCCTTGACAATGTCATACAACGCAACCCACCAGACACGTCAGTTCCACCAACCAACATGTATTCCAATTTACCTCGATGACCCACAAAAACCCATGGCAGTGCAAGGTGATGGCCTGGAGGCTGGAGGACGTTTCTATATGGAAAAAAACATTTAAGGAAAACTCTAAAATGAAATGAATGTATGAATCCAAAATTCCTGCACCTAGTATTTGAAGGCACAAAGACAAGACTGTCACAATTTAAATCTACGCGCTGCCGTTGAAATTTCTCCCTTAACTTTGGAAAAAATGACTGCACTAACTGTTAACTTTCCACTAATGGACGGAAGTTATTTCAACATTGCAAGGGGAGTTGTGCCATTAAAACAGCACTGTGACTTGGGACTAAGGAACACTTACAGTCATGTCAGGCCCAAGGATGACATACTGTAAAATCTGAATATATGCAGTTGAGGAAAGCTGTATGGAAATGTATGAATGTATAGTTGTTGTTGTTTGAATCTCGATCAGTCGGCCCTTTCTTTAAGGCACAGTAAGTCAGTAAGTCTGTTAATGCATTATCTGTGTCTAAAGCATGGATGACATGAGATTCAGCTCACGAAACGTGCCTGCTTACACGGTTTATTTGGATGACATATGTGTGTAACAGATATACACAATTATTATTGAACTGTCCACTGCCCATAACCCAGAATAGCCTTAACAAGTCTGCCACCATGGATATCCCCATATGGAAATTAAATTAACTTACAGGAAATGTTTGTATTTTGTATGTCTTGAAAGACTTGTGTGTCTCATACTACAACTTATGTATTGAAAATGTATTTGTGTGTCATGAAACATGAATTAAAAAACATATGAATTAAAATTTAATCAAGTAAAATTTATTATGCATAAGAATAAATATAGAACTAAATCACAGTGTGATATATAAGTCTCATAGAACTTTCTGTATATTAGGAAACATTTACTAATGGAGACAATGGGGCTGGAAATTTATTTTCCATATAGGGGTGATCCAAGCTGAATGCTAATGATGTCAATGTTTGTTGTATGTGCAACATATGCTAATGTGTAGCAGATCCAGTGTTAGCAATGCTAATTACTAATGTGTCAGTGGTTATTATGAACGAGCATGAGTGTATCCAGTGAAGAACCCAAATTTGGTCAAAAACCAAAGCACTTGATATGGACACAAGTACTGGGCCACCTAAAGGAGCTGCTCAGGAATGGAAACACATACCATGAAGCTCCCCGGGCACTGTTCTCATGCTGATGTTAACTCTGAAGTTACTGAGTCAGCAGAGAGTTACAGAGAATTACCGACCTCGCTCGGTACCTTTACGTGGCCTGCTTCTTCATGACTGAGTTGTTGCGGTTATTTAATGTTTCCACTTGCAGTAAGATCACTCAAGAGGGAAGAGTTCTACAAACTTAATTGCTGCAGTGATGGTGTCCTATTACAGTACCTTTACTTGAATTCAGTGAGCTCTTTAGGACAACCTGCTTTCTCACAAGTGTTTTCAAAGGCAGTCTTCATGGCTAGGTGATTGATTTTGTAAACTTGTGGCAATGGAATAGAAAGCACCTGAATTTGAAGATTAACAGATGAAGCCTATTTTGTTTTTTTTGTCTATATAGTGTATTTTTATTTAAGACCAAAAATCTCAAACACAGGTTGGCACTAGACCAAAAAGTCAGTAGATTTTTCTCAATTTTACAGAAAGGTCCCAAAGGGTCAAGCCTACATTTTTCTGCTCTGCGTTGTGTTGACCAGACTCTGCTGGTGGCTTCAGAGACTTTCTCAGGCATCGCCCACGTTGTATTTACTTTCATATAAAGAAGCAGTAGGCAACAAAGTAGAGACCACCTTATCTCGACTGAGGGATAAACATAGACTGTCTGTCTCAAGCATAACAACTTCCTGCGGAGGGGAGCCCTCAGAATGGGAGTAACAATAACATCTGTAAACACGTGTAATGTCCTTTTTCTCCAAGAAAGTGTAAATGCTTCTACAGTTTATATCAGAGTCCCCTGAAATATCCTTTCTGCATTTAAAAAAAATCACATCGTTGTCAAGACATATGTATCAAGAGCAAAACCACTGTGACTGAAAAAATGGATTTCAGAAACGTAAAGCTTTTACTTCTTCAGGAGTTAAGATCGCCTGACTCATAACACTGACTATTTTGTGTTTCATGTGTTTGTGGTTGTATGTGTGTGTTTTCTAAAATACATCCTCTACCTTTACCCATAAGGTTTAAGTGAATGTGAAAAGGTAATACATAAATGTTTATGTATATATGTTGGTACAGTAGAAGCTTTTCATAATTGTGCTCTGTTGGAGGGAAAAATTGTCGTAAAAATGGCCTATTCCTTTTACCACTTACTTTTGCATTAAAACAGTAATGTAAAGGTAAACCTGCTTTTTTTGCAAGTCTAATAATAATGTTTTATGTTGAGAAACGAAAGGGATTAGTATAAGTTGTTGCTATTCCAAACCATCTCTGAGAGTTGGGTTACTTCTTTTTCAGAGAGGGTTTCATTCCTGTGGGAGTCCTGTTCATAATGTCACTGTATTGCTTGAACATTGCATTCTCCTTTTCTTCCTCCTTTTCATGGATCTCTAAACTACCTATGATGATTGTGAATGTCATTTTAAGAGCTTTTTGCTTTTAAAAATTCCGTGCTGCTGCAAAATGCACTGTGAGAATTAGACTTTTAACTTTAAAGCTGTAACTGTATTCCTGTGCTGTAAAGCTGTGTGTTTTAATGATTATGCAAGTTTGGTTTATGCAATTGCAAATGTATGAGTACGACAAAAATTGGGATTTTTTTTTCTTCAAAACATTTTTGTCTTCAATCCACATTCACGTTTTGATTTCACTTATGCTCAGTCATGCATGTCTCGATGTTAGACACATTACCACCCACACATTTTGCTTTGAGGATGTAGTGTTTAATCATCAAGCTGTAAATCTGTTGAATTGAATGAAAGAATATCATTCATTCTATCATTAACATTTCATTCATATAAAATAAAATCTCATTACAGTTACAATCTTGTCAAAAACTCTTTTGTCCATGTAAAAACAAAGCAAAAGTGAACATCCTTACTTGCACTGTTTGTCTTCTATGAGACCCGATGTTTGAAGAACATGACATGACATGAAAGCCCTTATGCAGTATATATATGTGTGTGTGTGTGTTCATTTATAATTTTTTGTGGCAAGTAAAAATGTTAAAGTTAAAAAAAAAAAAAGTGTTGCAACAGTACAACACACTTTTTGATTTTTATGTTAACCATATTTGAGAGAATATAACATGGAGGTCTTTGAGAAAGATGTGATCTTAAATTTTTTTTTTTTTTAAAGTATAATTGCTTTATAGGTTTATTCAGATGCATCACACAAAGACTTGCTATTTTGAAATTCTAGTGAGATCACTCCAGATGCCGATGATGTGGTAAGAAAGTTTCTTGAGAAGTGAAATGCTGCCTAAATTTCTGAAATAACAAGTAATCTGACATGATTCAGAGTGAAAGAGATGAAAATGAGAAACGTTTAAAAAAAAAAAAGAAAGTGCCATATTAGCAGTGAATGACTCAGCAGTCACATGATGGCAGCTGATTTTGTAAGTGCCGTGTATCAATACTGGTTTACTGTTTTTAGAAACTCTTTATTTGTAGTTGATGAGTTTTTACTGTCATACTTTAAGAGTTGGGGGAGCAGCTGAACAGTTACTGGTACTGCAGCTTCACCTTGTGGTTACTTAATGTAAACATCCCAAGATGGAGAGGTTATATTCCCAAGTGTTTTTTGTTTTCTCAGGCAGCCACACTTCACCACTAATTGAGTGTGGCAGAAAGGGTTGTGTTGAATGTCACATTCATTCTTTTCTTTGATTGGCATCTTTTATGCTGTCCTTATATCCAGCATTTATTGTATCATTTTGCTAGCATATACTGTACTTAGTCGCACGCCTAAGTGACCGTTTCAAAAATTCAGGAAACTCAAAATACAAGAGAACTCTTCGGTTACAGTAATAACACTCGGGATACTGCCAAATTTTGTTGTAAAAAGGATTTTTTCACTTCTGATATAAGCACACTTATAATAGGTTATCTAAACCCAATGTGAACTGAGTATCATTTTAACTCTTTAAACACACACAAAACAAAATTTTGTGATGTGAAATCAAGATTTACTTGTTATCTGAGTTCACACAGTCATGCTATATTATACATATATTACAGATCCCAGTGGTTGAAGGGGAACCACAAATGTTGCCACACAAAACAATGACTTTATTTTCAGTGACTTCTGAGCACAAATGATTTTTTTTTTTAAAAACAGCTGCATCACTGTGGTTTGAGATATACTGAAACCCGACCACAGAAACTCTACGAATAGTTTTGTGCTTCAAAAAGTTTGATTACGATGGCTTCGTGGGGCTGCAGTCTGAGACTGTAGAGAGATGTGGACCCAAAACGATCCATCCCTGTGCTGTCTACAAACAGCCCGGCATCAGGCAAGCTCGAGGCCCAGGCAGGATCCAGGCTTTGAGGCTGAAACCCGAAGTTGAGCAGAACAAGGACGTGGACACAACCCCAGGAGCGTAGAAAGGCAAGAATTGGGGGAGATAAAGGAGAGGAAAGAGAGGAGTTGGAGGATGACGAGGTGTTGAAAGGGAGGAAGGTGAAACTGCCATATTGAAGCGCTTCTTCTCTGGCTTTGGAGAAGCTGAGGGAGGAGAAGAGCTGAAGGGCTGCACGGTTCATTTTGCCCTTTTCCTGAGGAAGAGGGGAGGATGGCGACAAATGTGAGAAAAATAAATACAATATGCCCCAAATACTGCAACAGCTTTGCAAGAGTTCCAACTGCATTTGTGAAAAAAAGTCAAAGAACAAATCTTATTGAGACATTTTTAGAGCACAAGCTAGCTTCATACTGAGTGTTTGGTATCTAGTAGCTCGTCCATCTCTCTGTGAGACATGCAAATTTTCAGTGGCGTATAATACAAGCTGCAATGTTTCAGATGACATCGTTAGCGGTTAAAAATCATTCATCAATCAATTTAAAGTCTCAAACAAGGCTTTACCTTTGTTTTCTCCATGTCTTTATCATACTGGATTGCTGGTGATCCTGGCAGAGTCATCATCAACACCAGGAGTAACTTCTTCAGTTCCTGAGATGCGTTGCCTCCAACCTGTTAAAACAATGGAGAGAGTGACCATATAACTACTAACTTTCCAAACCAAAGCTGAAAAAATAAATATGTAATGAAAAGTAGTGCATAAGAGCTGCGGTTTTTAGTATCTTTGTCACATCTTTGTAGTCTGATGCTTGTAAACTGTCACATAGAAAGTTGACTAAGGCTACGTTCACACTGCAGGTCTTAATGCTCAATTGCGATTTTTTGATCAAATCCGATTTTTTTGTCTGCTTGTTCACACTACAAATAAAATGCGAGAACAAACGCTCTCTAGTGTGAAACCTCAAAGCGGCCCACATGCGCAAAAGAAGATGTCACACACAACACGCTCTGTTTCGATCCAGACCAAACAGTGTTGTTTGACTGATGGCCCTAATATAAAGACTTGTTTCGGTCTTTACGTTTCCCAATTTTGTTTAAGTTATAAAGTTATTTTGTTATTTACATATGGCCTAATAATTATCCTTATTGCTGTTTTAGAGAGGAGCGGTGCTTCAAAGGATAGTTGCAGACTTCTGTCAGAATCTGCAGATTATACAGTACAAATAAAATGTTCACATTTCTCCAACATTGTCTTCCCAACAGTTTCACCGGATGGCCAGGAAGGGTTCATGATGTCTTCTCCGGCGCTGATAATTGGCGTCTGTCTTGTGTCAGTGGCGTAAAAGACGGATTTAATGCGACATGACCGTTCAAACAGCAGTCGCTTTCTAAAACATCAGATATGTATCGGATTCAGTACCACATACGAAAGTGACCCAGATCGGATTTGAAAATATTGGATTTGTGCCGTTCACACTGTCACACCATGATCGGATATGGGTCGCATAGGGTCAAAAAAGTCGGATTTGATGCGCTTTCGCCTGCGGTGTGAACGTAGCCAAAACGAACGTTAGGGCTGAGCTGTTCAGTCAGAAACAGATAATACCACTAGATTAAGCAATATGTGCATTAGCTTTTCTGACATTTAATAACACAAATAACAGGTTTGCTTATAATGGAAAAAAATGACTTGATGCAGTCAATTAAAATAACTGTACAAGGATTTTAGGAAAATTTGCAAAATCTGTAAAATAAGCATTTTTCTATCAAAATGTACAAGAATCTTATAGAGAAATCTTACTGTCCAGCTGGGCCATATATTATCTCCTCTTGTTTGTAGGTGTCTCTCTACAGCATCAGCCACTTCCTGTGCAAACAGTGGGTGATGTGAACGAGGGAGAATGGACCTCATGACCACATCCACCAGTGTAACGTTGACCTGACCGGAGCCATTTAATGGACGCAGAACATCTGCCGTCTGTTTAACCACGACAATCCTGAAATTAAACATTTTTTTCCAGCAATCCTTGAGCTTCCTTTATAACATAAAAAAACTCTGTATTTACATGCATAACAACACCTTTCCTCCTCGGGACTACTGAATTCCCCAAAGACACGTCTCCACTCCAGCAGAGTCTGAAAAGTACACATTTAATTGGGAAAACTGAGCCTATGGTAACGCCACTTGTAGCTAAATTCAAAACTAGTCAATATCATTTGACCTTTTCTGAATATGCTGCATCAGTGTCACAGATAACAAAACCTGCCACACCTTTTTCCAACCAGAAGTGGAGTGCACGCTGTAGAAAGAATATCCATTTCATATTTTATGAACTCCTGACTGAGTGCATGATCAGAAAGCAGGTTTTACCTGTGTGGTAGCTGAGAGGTTTCCAGTTACATCCTGAAGTGCCAACAGATCCCGTTTACACAAGTCAAGCACAATTTTAAGACCTGCAGGACCAGCATGAAGCCTGTTAATCAGTAATAAAGGCCCATAAAACCACGTCTGAATACCATTTGCAAAAAAAAAAAAGTTCTTTACTCACCTGCTTTGCGGCTCACTGAGCAGATGTTGTATCCAAGCCAGTGGAGCAAAGTTTTTTATCAGCGGCAGTGAGGTTTAAAGGAAAGACCTCAACATCAAACACACCCTTCAGGATTAGAGCCCCTATACCCAAAGACCTGAGGTAGGGAAGCTGCTCATGCATTGCTTAAGAAAATACATATCAGAAAGAGTTACTTATTTTTAATCAGAATGCCATGATATTCAGTTTCCTCATGTGATGGGTTTGCATTCATGTTTATTTCAGTAGAGCTGTTATTTATCATTTATATCGAAGAACATGTTGCGCACAGATGCTCATGTGGGATTAGAAAAATGTTTTCTATTTTCAAAGCAAAAGCAACAGCACTTTCTCAGACTCTCATAACTTGATACAATCGTGTGGTAGCCCACAGTATTAATCACACAGTCAGATTAAGTAGTTATCAGCACAGAGATGAACCCAGTGCAGCTTTTGGCCTCACAGTAATAGTGAAACTGTTTAACTAAAAGCAATAATTGGTACAAATACAGCCACGCTTGCACATTGCATTTTTGGGTACAATAACATTTGTGTGGTTTTAAAAGCCGTTATTGGCCCTACCAACATAAATGCGGTGGACAAAATAATGGAAAAAATGGTTTCAATGAAAACTGATGACTGCAGCTTTCCTGTTGTCGTGACTGCCAGGAAGCAGGTAGTTAAGTGATGGTGAATGAGGTGCATCTAAGGTTGTGCACGCTGCAAATTTTGATATAGATCAGATACCATGTGTGAATGTTTGTGTGAATGGGTGGATGACAGGATGTGTAAAGCGCTTTGGGGTCCTTAGGGACTAGAAAAGCACTGTACAAATCCAGGCCATTTACCATGTAATTACGGGGCCAGTGCCTTTAACTTATAAAAGCAGCTTGTGCATCATGACTGAGATGAATCATCAATTTGTAAATTCTGAACTAATTTTGATCAGTCACTGTGATTTTCACTTTCCAAAAATAATCAGTCAAAGCAAAACATTTTTCAGTTTCTCATGTATTTTGAAAATGGGGAACTGGAATGTAAATGTGTCCGTCTAATTTGGGCCAGGCTATACAAAGATTCAGACATTTTTCGTAGTGCATGTTTGAAGTCGTCCCCCCTCCTCCATTTTCAAAAAACAAACATAAATAAATAATTTACCACAGTTTAGTGGTCTAAAATTGAACTGAAAGGATCGAAGCAAAGTATCTATCTTATCGTGCTAATATCGATCCAATATCAGCGTCGGAATAGAATCTATCGATATTTGAATTGATCACCCACCTTTAAATTATCCATCATGTCAATTTTTTAAGCATAGAAATATTAAACCCAAATTTCAGCATTTTGTTTCGGCGCATCCTACCGCACATGCCCTCTGAACCCTCGGTCTGCGCCTCCGTCCACTGGTCGGCCTGCAGCTGATAGAACACAGACTCCTGCCACCATTTCAAGGGCGTCGCAACCGGCCGGGGGCTCTTTATTATGATGGCGATAGAAGTGGCAAGTATGGTGACCCAGGCGAGCCAGAACAGCAGCACCAGGTAACAGCGCACGTTCCTCCAGACAGGCCCAGCAGCTGCCTCGAGCTCCTCTCTCGTCATTGGCCTCCACAGAGAGTCGGACTCCGGAATGAGCAGAGGGCATGTCTCTGAGGCTCCCGGCGGCACACTGCTATAACCCACATGCCCTGCGTTCACGGGCATCTCACGCTGCTGCAGGTAGATTAAGGGGATTATTTTAACTTTAAATGAACATTTAGACACTCAAGCCGAAGCACGCAGAAGCTGTCCAACTGTCGCTTAGGTTTTCTTTGGACTCGCTAAGTTCGTCTCTTTCAGTAACTCGCTGTTTCCACGCGACACTGAGCACAAGGCAGCTTTGTAATGAGCTGCACCTACCTGCCGGACTCAGGTGCAACATTTAATCTGACACACAGTCCTGTTGTCCCACTTTCTTACAGTGGTGGCGCAGTGAGGGACAACGAGTGTCCTTGTTCCCCTAAACAAGATTAAGCGTTTGGAGAGGGGGGCAGCACAGGAAGGACTATTCGAGATTTAATTTACTGATTATTTCACATCATTGTAGTTTGTCTTTTTTCAACACTTTTATTCCCTCGTGTACTCTGTGCTACTAATTGCTCGTGGGCATGTTTCCTCTTGTCCTTAGCTGTGCCTCCATTAAATGAATTTCACTGGCAGTGATGGAAGGCAGAATTAACAGCTCTGAGTCAGCGCATGCAGCTCTGATGAGCTGAAACTAAAATTAGTTGAATTCTGGAAAATTTTATTCTTGCAGCACAAATTCACAACAATGGTCACTTCAAGGCACTTTACTATAGTAAGGTAAAGACCCTGCATCGTAATAGAGAGACAGCTCTTGGTGGCAGTGACACATTAGGGGGTTTTGGGGGGATTTTACCATTCCTCTGTTGCAACTCAGACAGGAAACTAGTAAAAACAGAAATGATTTTCTGAACAGATTTTCCTAGAAAGTCTGTACCTTTAAAATATGCTCAGATGATTTCTTTTATTTATAAGATCATATGTATAAGCCGATCCTCTTTGTTTATAACTTCTCTGCACTAGAGGCTGTAGCCATCCCAGCCAAGCAAACACTTCTGTAAAAAGTGATATTTCTGAAAATTCCAGTGTTGCCTGTAAAAACGACAAAATCCACTGAAATTGGAAACAATTGCAGCACCTGAAGGAAACAGCTGGTGAAAGTTTCCAGCCAGTGGTTCATACCCAAAGCTGCTTAACTTCCTGCCGTGAGGCAACAGAGTCATTTTAAATCAGTTTAAATGAACTTAAATGCCACAAAACCCAGTTATTACTCACATTTTATATATGGTAGTTTCTTTGTGCCTTCCTCTCAGGTGCTTTTCTTCTTCTTCTTCTGTACCTCTTCTTGTTTTTTGTTCTCTCTTGTTATGTTTGTCCAAACAAGTGTTCAAAGCTGAGGGATGCTACCCTGAGCTGAAAATTTCCAGTGATTCGACTTGTCAGGAGTGAGGAGATGTGAAGGAGGAACAGTCCAATAAAAGCTCTGCTCTGGGAGTTAATAAAGAGGTGCCGGGCCACATCACACCCTCGCAAAAAAGTTGGTTTTTTTTGAAAGCCTAAGTTAGGATAACACTTATATTTTAGACTCTATATGTGAGAGATAAAATATTAGGTGTTAAAGTAAAATAATTGTGACTGTCTATAATTTGAAAGCTGTACACATGGAGCAAACTAAGCTAACTGTGCAACAGAGATCCACTGGCAAAAACTCCACTGCAATTTGAAATTCACATTGACGTAACACATCACACCCGCCCTCTAAAATGCTGTAGATCTTAGAAGTAATGAGGCAGATGTGCTAATTCCCAGAAACCTCTCATCCTCTTCATCCAGTTTGGTCCTCTAACCCCCCCCCACACACACACACACACACACACACACACACACCCACACCCACCCGTCTTTCTCCTAACCTCTCCTTCATTCTTTATCCTTTTGTGTCTCTCGCTCTGGCTTTCCTCTCTCGTGGCATACGCTTATGTTGATGTAACAAGTTATTGCCATCTGTGTGACCTTTGCTCCATGACAGCACCGTGCAAACTGATTGTTTACCGAGAGATACTGTGGTCCATCACAAATGTCAGATCATTTGTTTTCCTCATATGCAGCTTGTATACAATATCACATGGCAATGTAAATGAGCTGCATTACACAGACGCTTCCATGATGAGCAGATAACTATCAGTGTCTGACCAGGCACTGTGTGGTTAAATAATATCAAATACTCCCTGGATAAGCAATAGAAAATTGATGGGCAGACCCACTGTCATAAAGTACAGTACTGTACACAAGTCATGAGTCACTACTCACATCTTAGCGTTTTGCTAGTAAAATGCGAAGCTGGTGCAACAATTTATTGAGACACGCAAATATACAAATATTGATATAAGGCAAAAACACAGTTCATTCTAACAAGCTTGATAGTCAACATTTGCTATGACCCTCTTTTACACATGAACTTTTTTAGTCAAGCGTTCTTCTGATTTCTTTAAGTCGTGTTCAGAAATAGTTCTGCAGACCTGAAGGACATTCAAAGCTCTTCTTTGGACCTCGACTGCCTTTTTGTTTTGTCCTGTGTCAAGATGATTTCACACTGCTTCAATAATCTTGGAGTCCATGAGGCCAGTCTATGACTGACACTCATCCACTGTGTGTTCTTCTGTCCACTGGCCATTGGTAGTGTGTTTGAGATCATTGTTGAGCTAAAAGAAAACGTTGCCAATCATACACTTTCCAGATGGTATTGCAGGGTGAATCATAATCTGATGATAATTTTCTGTGTTCATAATTCCATCAATTTTGAAACAATCCCCAGAGCCTCCACTGTGGTTTACTAATGGTTGACAGTCACTGTTGTGTCTCTCTCCTGACCCATTCTAAGCATACTGTTGTAATTTGAACCAGAAATTTCAAATTTGGATTCATCACTCTGTAAGAGCTGATTCCTTCCAGTTCTTGTGTCATTTGGCACACCTCAGCCTTTTCCTATAAATGGCTTCTTCAGGGCCGACCTTCCACTGAGGCCATTTCTGATGAGTCTTTGGCGACAGCAGATGGATTAACTCAAGTACCAGATGTGTCTCTCAGATCCTGGTGGACATTTTCTTATTTCTTAAGGACGTAACTTCCAGATACTGTTCATCTGCTGTAGGTAGTTTTTCTTAGAGGTGTTGCCACTTTTTCTTTTGTCCTCCACAGTTGTCCAGATCCATCAAATCTTTACAGAAACAGAGATCTCTATGCTAAGATATGCCAGCAAGTCTTTATGAATCACATCGTTGCTGCAAAAATACTATTTTGCCAGTCAAACTGCGGTATCTTTGGTATTTTCTATAGATTCAATTAAAGAAATACGAAGAAATTATGTGGAGTGGGGTTTTTTTGTTGGTTTTTTTGCCTAATGACACAATTTTAAAATAGTTTTTTGCTAAGTTCTTGTGTGTAGTGACAACACTGTTTCCCTAGGTTAGGCGACCTTTTTTATGCTTGAATGATTCATAGGTCAGTGTTAAGTGGCTTAACAAACAGCCATGAAAGAGCTGGACTGAAAAACCGTGAAAAGCAGCCAATGTTCAAATAAAAGCTTTGAAAGATCTCCAGAAAGCCCAGAGGACTATTGCTAAAGACCACGGAGGTGCTCAAGACCTTTGCTCAAGACCTTTGCACATTAATATAAATTTTTTAGATAAAAAGTGTCACCCAGCCACCCACCCTCCCACCCCAAGTGAATTAAATATAAATAAATAAATAAAAACACATGCAGTGGATGTATCATTTTGTTCCTCCATATTTAATATGATTTGACCAGAAAGCAAATATGTGTGGCTATACCCAAAAACAAATATACCCTATACCCAAAAACGTTACTTAAAGAATTGTGCTTAGTGTGGTCCACATCTAAGAAGTGTCTAAGCTTTCTTCATGATGTTGATTCTTCGTGGCTTTAGTTTGAGTCTTCCTCTGATCCTTCAATGTCCTGAAATGTCACAAGACAAAGACATAGTTATTTCAGACCCGGTAATGCTATAAAATAGAAATTCTATTAAGTTGTTTTGTAATTATTATTATTTCCTTCTGAGACTCGGATGAAATTATTATTTTTTTGATTATTCTGTTTCAAGGAAACACATTTTAAACTTGTTATTTATTTATTTTTCATCTTCTGTTCCTGGAAGTGGACAATAAGTCTTGTTTGATCACCGAATGCTATGATGTCTGAGTGAGGCTTAAAGATATTTTACTCGGAACTGTGGAAGTGGGATCGTGCTCAGAGCTGTCAAGTGATGAGGGGGAGGAGAACCAGACATCAGTGCAAGAAGGTTAAAAATTACGATGGAGGGCATACCGACTTTTGGGGCGCCTGAGAAGTGGTAACATGACAACACTTCTTCTTCATTATGGATGAGAAGTGTTGCACAAGCTAGACCTCTGAAGTGGTGGGATTTGAATCACTGTCTGTCTCCAAGAGGATCATCATGTGAAGGGAATCATCTTTCCATGGCAGCCTTGTTACATTCTGTTTAAGAGAGGTGTCACTTCAGAGACTCCTCAGCTCATGTATTAGTTTGATGGACTCCCTAATCTTGAAAAATTGGTTAAAACTAGGAAATGGGAAATTCGGTTATGTAGGCAAGGCAAGGCAAATTTATTTGTATAGCACAATTCAACAACAAGGTGATTCAAAGTGCTTTACAGAGACATTAGACATGTATGATGTCATGTGGTGACCACAGATATAGTGCAGAAGTTTTAATGCCACCTTTAGAAATAACCATCTCTCTCTTGTTTGTGTGCTCCTTTTTTCTAAATAATGCCGGGTTGCCTGTTTCCTGTTTGATGTAATCAGAGGAGCTCCTGTTTCAGGGTTGTGGGCAGCATTATTCTGTTTTCTTGTTTCATCCTAAAAATAAAATTTCAACCCAATTTCTGTATAGTTGAAATCGAATTGATCCTCAAAAGCTGTTATTTCCTCCTCTGAGATTTTAACCTTCCTGCTCTGATGTCTGGCTTTCCTCCACCTAATCCCCTGACAGAAATAATTCTGACTCCCCTTTCACAGTTCTGACTTCATTTAATTCTCTGCTTCCTGAAGTAATGACTTAGGTCAGACACTGAAGACACTGAATCAAAGTTTTGTTTTG